AAAAAAAACAACCAGTGCTATAGGTCTATTTAGCTAGACTATTTCAGTGTGACTTTTCTGGGGTCTCTGCTGAGTGCTATAGGTGCTCAGAAAGTTTTCTCTGGTTTGGCTCATCAGAACTTGAATGTTTCTTAGTCCCCTAAGAGCTCTGTAGTTCACGGTCATCCTCTGCTCACCTTTTCAGAGTCTTACCCCTATATATGGGATTCTGTTCAATAGTAGGGGCCAGGCATGGTGGCTCATGTCTATAATCCCAGCACTTTGGAAAGCAGAGTTGGGAGGATCACTTGAGGCCAGGAGTTCAAGACCAGCCTGAGCAGCACAATGGGACCCTATATCCACAAAAAATAGAAAAATTAGCTAATGTGGTGACTTGTGCCTATTGTCTTGGCTACTCAGGAGGCTGCGGCAGGAAGATTGCTTGAGACCAGGAATTTGAGGTTGTAGCCAGCTAGGCTAATGCCACTGTATTCTAACCTGGGCAGCAGAGTGAGACTCTGACTCAACAAAAACCTTGCAGGGACCCCTCTGCAGAATTCTCAAGCTTTTTTTTTTTTATGTAGCTTCCTCTCTGGTTTTCTGTCTGGAAAGCTCCAGCTACCTCCACTTCCCTGAGCTCTAATTTCTGTCTGCTTGACCCCTGCAGCCAACACCAGGAGCAGCATTTGTTCATTCATCCATTTCCTTCCTTGGGCAAAGACTTAAGAAGCACCTGGGGTAGCTGCCTTTTTCAGGTCTCCTGTGTACCCTTGTACATTGGCACTTACATGCTAAACACCAGGCTCTCAGGAAGTATTTGTTAAAACTCATCAATCATAAAGCTTTATTTTTATGTTGATAAAGCAAAATTGGACAATAAATTATTCTAAATTATGTAATTGGCTTAAAGATTATTCAGGAGGTAGAATTAGCAGGGCTTGGTGATTGTTTACCTGTAGAGTGACAGAGCGGGAGAAATCAAGACTTCAGCTAGCGTGCTAGTGTTTATTGACTGTAATTGGTGTTAAGCATTGTTCCCCGCTGTACCCCAGTGTCCATGCAGCCAGGGGCCCCACTCTCCTGTTGCTAGTAAATGTTTTCTAGGTTCCTAGACTGTGTGGCTGATGGTGCTATACAGTTGAGGCAGACGCACAGGTTTGTGGGGTGGGGTGGGCTCAGTCTTGGACCTGCCTTCTGGATGAGTTTGGCAAGATATCAGAGAGGATGGGCAGGACACTCCAGTGGGTGGTTCTCTGTGCCAGGAGGCAGAAGTTTCTTCTAAGCTCCTTTGTTTTTCATTGAGCACAAGTATATGTCGTAGGAGGGATACATTTTTGTTATCCTAACCTCTACCATGTGAGACAGAGCTCATCATGCCTGTTTTACTGATGTGTCAACTGACGGTCAGAATGGAGACTTCAGACCTAGCAAGTGAGATTCAGGCCCAAGTTTCCAGTACTGGAAGCTTGAGCTCTCTCTGTTACAGCCTTCTTTGTGTGCCACTTTAGTGCTTCTTTGCTCTTGAATAATCTGTGAGACTTGTCCTCAGTAGGCAAGATGAGTGGGTTTTGTCAGATTATAATTCATGAGCCGTTCAAAGTGTTTACACTTGATTCTCCATGATGAATAGCTCCTCCCCCAGTCTATTTTGTCCCTTGGCTCATTAAAAATTATAATTGTAGGGAGGTGGCTGTGGCTCAGTGAGTAGGGCACCAGCCCCATATACTGAGGGTGGCGGGTTTGAACCTGGCCCCGGCCAAACTACAACAAAAAATAGCCAGGCTATGTGGCGGGTGCCTGTAGTCCCAGCTATTCGGGAGGCTGAGGCAAGAGAATCACCTAAGCCCAAGAGCTGGAGATTGCTGTGAGCTGTGATGTGATGGCACTCTACTGAGGGCAACAAAGTGAGACTCTGTTTCTAAAAAAAAAAAAATTGTAATTGTAGAAGTAGCATTACATTATAGAGGTTTAGAAACAGTCAACTAAAGAATCCTCCCAAATCCTACTATCCTAACAAGTGTTATCTAGGAGATTATTTGGTGGCAGGACATTAACTTAAGGGGATTTACTCAGGAAAAATGGATTGAGATCATGGATCTCAATTGTGGTGGGTATAACCAATTCACGGTGATTCCTGCCACAGATAACTGGAGTGTCAGACAATCTCTCTCTCTCACTTTGGTTTTTTCTCCCTCTCTATGCAGCCTAGATGTATTATAAGTACCAGCATTCAGTTTTGGCTTTTTAAATAATTTTTGCTAATTTAATAGTTAATAGTTAAATTGTTAATATAGTATATCTTTTCAGTTGGCAATAAAGATGAAAAAGTTTCCATATATGTATTTTTACCTGATTTCTTTTTTTTGAGACAGTCCCACTATGTCGCCCTCAGTAGAGTGCCCTAGCATGTCACAGCTCACAGCAACCTCAAACTCTTGGGCTTAAGTAATTCTCTTGCCTCAGCCTCCCAAGCAGCTGGGACTACAGGCGACTGCTACAATGCCTGGCTATTTTTTGTTGCAGTTGTTATTGTTGTTTTAGCTGGCCTGGGCTGGTTTTGAACCCACCAACTTTGGTGTATGTGGCTGGCGCTGTAACCACTGTACTACGGGTGCTGAGCTTTTACCTGGTTTCTTTTGGGGTTTATATATATATATATATTTTTTTTTTTTTTTAACATTTTTTCCAAGATCCTTCCCCTCTAGTATTAGATATACAGAAAGGTTGACAGAGTAGTGCAGTGAACACTCCTATTCCCATAATCTAGTTTACCAGTTGTAGCATTTTACCATATGTGCACATATATGGATTTTTTTGCTTAACCATTGGAAATTCAGTTGCAGACATCATGAAACTTCTGAGTACTGAGATTATGTATATACTTTTAATGTAATGACCTGTTAACCGCTTAGCTTTCACATATTTGCTTGTAAATACTTCCTAGTCTGTTACCTGCTTCTGACCCTATTTCCTTGTGTTTTTCAGATGGTGACATGCCGTGCCGTGCTAATATCCTGGTCACAGAACTCTTCGACACGGAACTGATTGGGGAGGGGGCGCTGCCCTCCTATGAGCATGCACACAGGCATCTCGTGCAGGTAGTGGTCTGGGGGCTGCTCTGGGGCTTATTGCTGTGGTCTTTGCCAGCTCTCACAGCACTCACTGATGCACCATGCTCAACACAGCCCGAGCCTCAGTGCCTCTCCTTGCCCCTGGAGCACCACTCAATTCCTGGGAGGCTCTGGTTCTCTTCAGTTGTGACTTCGTGTCCTTTGAATGCCAGGTCTTGGTAGGTTAGAGTTGAAAGGCAATTTTTTCGATTGTGAATCTTTAATTTCAGCAAATATTATTCGGGTGTCTACTGTGTGTAAGGTGTTCTAGCAACCAGGAAAAAGTTGAAGACATCCTTCTTGCTTCTAAGACCCATAGTAATAGTAATGATAAGGACTGAATGGCTGAATGGCTAAGCAGAAACATCACAGACAGGCTTGGCGCCTGTAGCTCAGCGTCCAGGGTACCAGCCACATACACCGGAGCTGGTGGGTTTGAATCCAGCCTGAGCCTGCCAAACAACAATGGCAACTACAACCAAAAAAAATAGCCAAGTGTTACAGCAGGCACCTGTAGTCCCAGCTACTTGGGAGGCTAAGGCAAGACAATCACTTAAGCCTGAGAGTTTGAGGTTGCTGTGAGCTGTGACGCCACTGTACTCTGCTGAGGGCGACATAATAAAACTCTGTCTCAAAAAAAAAAAAAAGAAAAGAAAATGTTATCTTGGAGACATTGGTTGTTCTTTTCATGGACATAAACTGGAGGTGGAAACTGAGAGCAAAGGTCAGCTGGAAAATAGAGAGCGTCTGCTCCTTCCCCTATTGGCATGTAGCTGGTGGGCATCGTCCAGGTGAGCCTGCAGCTGTCCTAGCTAGGATCCTCCTTGACAGTCGTAGGTGCCCATGGAGTGATGAACAGGGGTTTCTTTCAGGGCCAGAATCCCTATTGCTCACATGGCGGACTTGTGGTAGGATTGTGCTCCAGCATCTCACACTGTGCAGGATGTCTCATTGACTCTAAGATGTGACACAGTCCTTTCTTAGTTACCAGCATCAGGAATAAGAATTTCTATTTCTCTGTGTTAAAACTCCCAACTAGAGTAATCCCTAAAAAAGAAAATAAGGCTATTTAGAATTATTTAAGTGTTTCCCAGTTTATCTTCTTTAATCTTACAAAAAAAGTATGCAAGCGGCTGTCTTTAGTTTCCCCTCAGAGGGCACCTGTGTCCATTGTCTGCTCTGATCTCTGGCCTGGCACCATGTGTGAGTCCGCAGAGGACTCACATTATTGGAGGTCATGGAGCTGGGATGCTTAGGTGTCTGACAGATCACTCCTGTGGGTGAAGCGACCCAGCAGTTGATCTCAGCATACACATTTATTGAGCACTTTCATCTTGCCAGGCCCTCTTTTGTGTAGCAAGATTGTGAAGTGGGGCTCATGGGAGGCAGCCAGGTGAGCAGATCATCAAGTGCAGCTTCAGCTACACTTTGATGGTGCTTGGTGGCAGGTGAGGTTCTACCCACATTGTGTAGATCAAGGGAGATGATTCTTGAGTTGAGCTCCAATTGAAAAGTGGTCTGGACGTGGTGGCTTACCCCTGTAATCCCAGCACTCTGGGAGGTGGAGGTGGGCAGATTGCCTGAGCTCAGGAGTTCGAGACCAGCCCAAGTAAGAGTGAGACCCCATCTCTACTAAAAATAAAAAAACTAGCTGGGCATTGTGGCAGGTACCTGTAGTCTCAGCTACTCAGGAGGCTGAGGCAAGAGAATTGGTCAAGCCCAAGAGTTTGAGGTTGCTGTGGGGTATAATGCCATGCCAGGCAACAGAGTGAGACTCT